AAGTTTACGTCAAAGGATTGTTTGTTTAATTCTATACAAAAGAGGGAGTTGTTCTTCGGTGGATTCTGAAGAATACGAGCCTGAAGCTTTGGTGGATTCTAGAATGGCTCATCGTCAAGATAATTCCGAGGTGAAGACGGGGTTGGAAGAGACACATAGGGGTTGGTTCAATTCGGACATGGATTCGCTAGGTAATTGAGAGTATACCTGTGTAATTTCTTTATATCTTCTTAGTGGATTGTTTTGTGGTTGTTGCCCGTGATTTTTTTTATCACAATTAGAGGTGCCCAATTGTGGTTTTTCCACGTAAAATTGTTGTGTCGATTTGTCTTGATTGTTTGATTGGGATTGTTGTTTACTGCTTAAAATTGATACATAATCACAAATCAACATCTAGGGGATTTCTAGAATTTTCAAATACCATAATCCGACTCCCAACAACTTATACAAAATGACATGAACAAAAGGTAAACTTTCATTAATCAGAGTTGATATACAAAAGGTGACACATGCGATATACATTCATAAATGATTCATCCTAAATCTACAGCATGTCTTACAAGTAGTAATAGGAATTGAAAGCTAAACAAATATTCATATGCCCTAAAGGCTTACATCTTTCCAAGATAGGTTCTTGGTTACAACAAAATGAGTCTAGCTCAACACAATTTAAAGCCCTTGGCTGTACAAAATAAATACAACAAAAAGAGGAGCTTTTGCTCCTAATCCTTCCAAACTATTTCCTTGGCGAAGACATATCACAAGTATCTGAAATTGATTTTCCCAAATAGGGAGAGCCAAAACCCAGTAGAAACAATCTAATACAATATATAAATCTTAACAAAGATATAGGTATGATATGCCTATACAATGCCTGTGATTTAAAATCATTTACAACTCTTTTCCGAAACCATGCTATGCCAAGCTTCATATCTTAATTTATTAATCATGTCCATTTCATTCAATCAACCCAACTGAGGATACAACTTATCGAGTCTCAAATCAATATAGTTATCACACAAACACATCTATTTGCCATTTTACGAAAATTTCGCCCGCGGGAATCGGCACCCATGTATACGTGCGGTTTTCGGGACTTTCACCCAGGACACACCGGCCAACTTAATTTATTGAGTTCATCCCCTTTCTTCTCCCAAACATGGAGTACATCCCCTTTCTCCTCCGAAACATGGAGTACATTCCCTTTCTCCTCCCAAACATTATACATATACAATGTATTGAAACATAGTCATATTCAATGACAATCGATAAGAGATTAGTTTCAATTCATCTAATCCTCATGCAATTTCTACACAATCATAGCTATCCTCCACCGATAACCCAAAACAAATATTTCTAAACAAATAAATAATCTCTAAGAGTGATAAACTATCCAAATTTTCATAGGTGAGAGGTAATACATATCCAACTCCACCATTTATATAAACATTCATTCAATTCCATATTCCCAATGCCAATTTCTTTTATTTATATAAAATAACTATTTGAGACATTTTAGGGCAAAACTCCCTTTCTTCCAAAACCCATCTCGAGTATCAAAATCAACATATTTATCACAACACAGCCTGACATCTAATCCTATAACCATTTTTAACACATACATTTGAAAACCCCTCTTTTGATTTTAAACCAAAACCCTAGATTTGTTCAAAATCATCTCAAGCTCCAAAGTTTCTTACACATCATCCAACTCCACCATTTATATAAACATCCATTCAATTCCATATTCCCAATGCCAATTTCTTTTATTTATATAAAATGACTATTTGAGACATTTAGGGCAAAACTCCCTTTCTTCCAAAACCCATCTCGAGTATCAAAATCAACATATTTATCACAACACAGCCTGACATCTAATCCTATAACCATTTTTAACACATACATGTGAAAACCCCTTTTTTGATTTTAAACCAAAACCCTAGGTTTGTTCAAAATCATCTCAAGTTTCAATATTTCTTACTCATAAATAAATAACTAAGTTAAAACTCATAGAAGAGTGTAGCAAGCCCTTACCTCAAGCTTAGAAGACCAAGGAAGAAGTGGAGGAACTTCAAAGACGCCAAAAGCAAGATCTATTCGGATCAAAACGTAGCCCTTGAGGTGCTCTACCCTTTTAACAAAGGCACACGGGTGGAGAAACCACTAGATCTAGATGAAAATGTAGAGAGAAAGTAGGTATTAGAGAGAGAGGGTCTCAACTTTAGGGTTTTGATAGAAAAGACATGAAAAGTGATGTAAAAAGTCACTTTCACAAACTGATATACACACAGTCCGCTCGAGTGTCAAGCACAATAAGTTGTTCCGCTCAAGCGCAAGAAGTGATGCTCGAGCGCAGAATGCACACTCCCTGTAGTTTTGTAGATAACAGACTAACGCTCGAGCGCAAGAAGGGTCGCTCGAGCTGAGCCCGCTCAAGTGCAAAAAGAACTGCTCGAGCATATAATACACTCTTCTAGTAGTTTTGCAGACCTGCCAAAGTACTGAGAGTTCGTAAAGCCTGCTCAAGCGCAAGAAGTGCCGCTCGAGCAGATGAGCGAAATTCTGGGCAACAAAAGTTTGAAAACTAAGCAATCAACCTATTCCAAACTTAACCACTACAACCTAATAGCCAAATTTAAAGAAATACAAGGGAAGCAAGATATGATCAACAATACGAAACCCTAAAACCCGAGTCTAGAATACAATAAGGGTTGGGTCAAAACTGAAATCGCTATAAATATATATTTATATATAAAATACATTAACCTTTCCCTAAGCGCTTTCATTCTTAGACTATTTTATGTGTCCCCACTTCTGCCCCTGCTTCATGCAACTAAGTATTGCCTATTAATGCACTTTTCTAAACAAGATTCTCAGAAATGGTTTTAATCAATTATCTGTTTTCTCTAATTGTAATGACCAGGGCATTGGTCACAAGGGTAGAGCTTTTGATCTCCCTTGCCGCATAATATTTTCTCGTGGTAAATTTTAATTGATTATGCATATCAATTCAACTGTTGTTTTCCACTTCCTACATAAAACTCTTGAATAAGATATGGTTCGACTTCCAACCCTAGTTTTTCATTTTCTGGGTTGAATTAGAGTTTTGTTATAGTAGATCATTGAGTGCTCCATGGTTGGCTTAAAAAGTCATGGCATTTTTGCATGGCCTAATCTATAATGCAATAAAATTGACATACTAGACTCTTACATTATACAATTGATGTATTTTGAGTATTATATCTCCATTGTGCTATGCATATATTTCAGTACCAAAAACCAGTTATTTTTCATTGTTAAAGGGATCGAGAAATCATTTGGTGTTGACAACATGTTTGTCATGACTCACAATGAACTTCTTGTTAAAAATTTGTAATAGTATTAGTGAGGCATATTTTGCCACCTATTCCTGGGAATATGCAATTCTCCACAAGAAAAAAAAAATTAAAAAAAGAAGAAGAAGAAAGAAGTAAAAAGAAGTTTTTCTTGTTTTGGTGTATTATCAAAACCTCTCATCAATTGGGTTATTTATTTATTTTCATCTTACAAAATTATATAGGGATGTTCATTTTTTGCTACCCATTCCTAAACAAACTTCAGCTTTATTTTTGGGTTGAATGAAATATCTACTTAGAATTAGAACAAAAACATTATATGTTGTTCTATTACTGACTGATGCTTGACATACTTTCTATAGGGAAGTTCCAGACTGAATTGGGCAAGGCTTGGGCATCTAAAATTGCATCAAGAAGAAAAACAGAACGTTAGATTCTAGTTGAGAATTGGAACTACACTTTTTGGTGACTTCTTGCTCCCTACTCTTCTTTCCTTAAAGAGTTGATTCAATGCAAAGTAGTTTTAATTAAAAGCTTTGATTTGTTACGCATTCTAATAAGTCACTGACTATAACGCTTCTGTTGAGTTGTCAATTTTCCTGATTCTACATGTCTAACTTTATGTTGTCGACAATGTATATGAAACGGGACATCTAAATGGCATTATTTTTAGAACTTGATTTTCTTGCTTTCTAGCATCTGGTGTACTTATGATATATGATGAATAATTTTGTCCTCTATTTTCTCTCTATATGTTCCCCAGTGTCCTCAAATTTAATGGTAGTAATTGGATCAGATAGTAAAACAATTAAACTATTTTCATTCTCTTTGCCATTAGAGAACCTACTAATTTATTTAGAGAATAATGTTTCAGTGATGACTCTAGTGTTGCCTTGTAGTCTTGTTTAGAGAACAATGAAACCAAGGGACTGAAGTGTTCTAGATATTTGATGTATTCTTGGTAGGGCATTGCCGTTTATTTCCCATAATGTTTTGATCTACATATAATTGGATTGTCTGATATTTTCAAGCTAATTAGTACTTGGAATGAAGTTATATTCATTCACCACATTTCAAGGAATAAACATTTAAGAATTGTAATCCATTTTTGAGTTTTTCTATTTTTTGAGAAAAAATAGTGAAACAAAAGCAATAGTGAATTTGATCCAAACAGTAACATAGCGTGCATTGGAAAGGTTAAGGTTTGGTCTTATGATGCATGAACATGGTATTGTTGGCAACAATCAATGCATTGTGTATAATGTTGATTCATCAAACCAGGTTGTATATGGTCATTATAGCATAACACTTCATTAATAGTACACACATTGTTCATTCACTAATTAAAATAAAATTATTATTTGGCTTTGTTTCCAAATCAATCTAATAACTATATGCATTTACCTTTAATAGTAACCATGATGTTACTTTAATTAGCTTGTGCAAAGCTTGCATTTCAAACTGCATTATCAGTAAGCTTATTTAAAGTTACTCAAGTGAATGGAGAATTTTTTGCACAAATCTTACTCATTTGGTAGCATGGTACAATGTGAGAAACATCACTTCACCTTTACGCCATTATAAAAAAGTTATCTATTCATCTAACAATGAAAAAAAACGAGGAAAAGGTAAAGCACTACCTACTTGACATGACATTTGTGTTTGCTACTTTCTTCTTCCACCGTTTCTATTACCACCCTTGTGTGACCTTTTCCCTTTCTTCTGTTGTTCTCCTTCAGCAATTCTTACAAACCATTTTGGTTTTCCAATTAAGAACATAATATATCCCATTACCAAACCCAGTACCATTCCACATCCGTACCCTATTTGTACCACTTTCCAACAAAATCCACATGCAAAAGTTGGATCATCTTCCTTGTGCAACATAGGTGTTGGATGTAGTTGTGTCTTATTATCTTCACATTCCTTTGATAGAGGAAATCCACACAATGCCAAGTTCCCATTGTACGAGCTATTGTCAAATGTTTCAAATTGGTTGCCACGAGGTATGTGACCCTCAAGATGATTTTCTGAAAAATTTAAGACTGCGAGGAATGTCAAACTTGTCAATTGGCTAGGAATCTTACCTGAAAGTTGATTTGAAGAGAGGTCCAAGGATTCAAGAGAACATAGATTTCCCAATGATGAAGGGATATTGCCAACAAGGTTGTTGTGAGATAAGTTAAGCAATCGAAGTGCATAAAGCTTTCCAATGACATTTGGAATCTCTCCACTAAATTTGTTGTGTGATAAATCAATTGTCGTGAAAATTGTTAGAATTCCTGGTAATTCAATCTCAAGACCCTTTATCATGATTGTCACTGAATCATGATAATAAGATTCCCCCATATATCTTAGTCCCACAGTTTCATTGATGATCGTCATAGCTTTGAAATGCTTGAAATATGTTGTTGGCAAAAAGCCACTAAACTCATTGTGAGAGAGATCCAAGATTCGAAGTTTAGGAAAGGGTAGTTGAGTTTTGGAAGAGCCCATGGGACCATGAAATTTATTGGATTGAAAGACAAGGACTTGCAACTCCGGAAGAGTTTCCAACCAGTAGGGAAATGTGTCATTTATATTGTTGTTCCCGAAGTCTAGAACTTCCAAGTGTCTACATGTTGCCAGGGATCGTGGCACTTTCCCTTCCAATTGATTCCCATTTAAATCAATGCTCCTCAACTTGTTTCCCTCTACAAATGAGGTCGGAATGCTGCCGTGAAAATCATTCATTCTAAGATCTAACACACTGAGTACATTGCTGAAGTTTCCTAAACATTGTGGAATTACACCACTCAAGCTATTATGAGACAAATCAAGGATCTTAATGGAACTCACATTGCAAAGCGCCAAAGGGATCTCTGTGAATTTATTGTGTGAGATTAAAAAGTTTGTCGCCACAAGTAGTGGGATGGGGCCACTTAGTTCATTGAAGCGCAAATCTAAGAATTGCAATGAATTATTTGGGAAGGCTTGGAGTTGACCATTGAGTTGATTAGCATCAAGGAGTAAGTACGACAATGACAAAATATTAAACAACCCAGATGGAATTGGACCTGTAATAGTTGAAAAGTTTAAATAAATAAGTTGTGATTGAAATTGTTTTGTGATAAATCCAAATAAACAATCTGTGTAATGTTAGAATATATATATATATATATATTGGGAATTTGACATTTCCTTGAAACATTCAGAACAATCAACTGTATAAGGTAAGCAAAATCATTAGGACTCTATTTAGCGATCAAACTTGTTACATGATAAGTCTTTATAAGTCATCTGCATAAGGTTCTCAAGAGACTCAGGTATGTACCTAGAAAATTTGTGTTCACATTATTTTTCACGTCTTGTCATGGAGATATGTTTATCAGGGAATTATGTACAATTTAATACATGTTGATGTTGAAAATACAGTTATTATAACTGTTAAAGATTTTGAGGTCACATGAACTAAAAATGCTATTTGATTTTGCCATTTTTCTTACGACATTTAGTTTATTCTCAATTTGGGTGCTGTTATGATGTGCACTCTTATTAAGAGCATACTGTATACACCTATCATAATATATGCAACATGGACACAACAATTCATAATAAATACCAAAATATGTTATAACTTTTCTCACCAAAATGGTTCGTAATTATTGGACCATACTGTTCATAACATAACCACAATGATTAATAATTTTCACTTTACATAAATTCTCTCATTCATAACTTTTACAACTGAGCAATATAACCAACACTACAAACTAGTGTAACAATTATTATCCCCTTTTAAGGGTGTACATCATAGAATTATCACATCTAATTCGGTAGATTCACATTTATTAGATATTAGACAACACATGTGAGACCATTACACCAACAGTTATGTGATAAGCAAAATATGATTAAAAAAAATGATAAATGTAACATTGTTGTAATAAACTATGGTAGTGTTGACAAGCTCGGTGTTTTCAAAATTTGTTTATCATTAAATTTTTTTTTTTTAAAAATTGTTTATCACATAAACCTTGTTTTGTTTTGTTTTGCTTTGTTTTTTTTTTTAAAAAAAGAAAGTAAAAAAAAAACTCATCATTTTCTCTATTTGGGGGTAAAAATAAATTTTAAAAACTTAAAAAAATAAAATCGGTTTTTTTATCTAGCTTGTTACTTCTTAAAAAAGAAAAAAAAAATAAGGAAGAAAAAAAAGAAAAAGAAAAAAGAGATTTGGATTCTCTCAAGTTGGCCATCTAACTTGAGAGAGTAGTTGCATTTGGGGCCGACCTCGATGATCAGAACCATTCATTTTCTTAAGACTCATTCAGTAGAATTTCATGCAAAAAATACATCAATACTATATATTTGAATTACATTTTGTCTTAAAAAATTAGATGATAAATATAATTTCAAAAATAGGCATTCATTTGTTATAATACAAATATGATTGAAATATATAGCTATCGATGTTCGATCATCTTGATGTTTTGTATGATTATTCAATGATTTCTCAAAAGTGCACAATTTAGATTACTAAAGTTGGCCCAAAATAAATCCACCTAATCTAAATTGTTCTCTCAAGTTGGCCATCCAACTTGACAAAGCAGTTGGGCTAAGTGGTTGAACTCGATCATCCGAACTGTTTGCTTTATAAAGACTATGAGAATCAACCAAACACGATAATGTCAAACTCCCAAGGTTCTGACTCAAAATCTTCAACAATTTGAGAGAAGTAAAAAAGAAATGTGTGTGGGTGGTGATGAATTTAATATGTTTCTAGCCATTTACATTTTGGATGATTTAAACTATTTTGCTAACTAAGGGTCTTGTTTCAATGATCTAAACTATTCATTTTGTAAGGTTCTCAGTCTATACCACCATGGAAAAATTAAGTTGATGTGATAATCGTAATCTTTTTATTTTATTCCATTTTGTCTCCTAACAAATGGATGACAAATATGTTTTATAAAATACACAATTTAATTTTTCGGAGACAAATAACATAAAATGGAAAGGTTACGATTATTTGATCGACTTAGTTTCTTTCATGGATGATATACATAGAAATTATTAGCTTTAACAGATATGACATGAAGCATTTGACACCGGTGTAAACCCACAGTGATGAAAACAAATACAATAGGGAGCAGACACAGAAATAAAAAATAAAGAGAAATATATAATTTAATGTGAAATAGATGGCAATTTTACTTTTGAATCTATAGGATTAACGAATCATTAATGAAAATGAGGGGAGATATGATGTGAACTAAAATTTAAAGAGACCTCAGTATAATTATGTCAAAATTGTAGGGCTAAATGTATTTTTTTCAAACATCAAAGAAGGTTAATGTAGTTTTTCACCCTTTTTTGCAGTTGAAAAAAGAAGAAATAATTATGAAAATCAACTCAACACCATAAATGAATTTCAAACTCCCAAGATTTTAATGAATTTCCGGGAAGTAAAAAAGAAATGAAAAATGATATAAAAGTTCACTATCTAAACTCAATGATGTTCAAGAGAGATGTTTAGTTAATAATTAGAAAAGATTTGAGTGAGAAAATTATCTTAAATATTTTAATTGATTATCACATCATAAATTTTGAAAATTGAGTAACTTTTGCACTTGAATATTAATGGTCAAAAGAAATACATGTTGACTGTCATGACCTTAATATGTTTGAGCATTTTCGTGTGTGGCTAGTTAATTGATTGACTCGTAATTTGAGCTCTGCAAGATGGGAAAGCCAAATGTCCAAATCATTGGAAGACTTCCAAAAGAAAGGCATTAGAATTCGCCCAAGGATCTCCTATCTCCAAAAATTCTTATTCCCTATCCCAAATCACTCACAATTATTGGATATGTCTTGAGATTTTCAAATTTTGAAATTCTCAAATGATCCAATGTGATTTGGGACAGGAGAACAGGAATTTTTAGAGACAGAGAATCCTTACTCTTAGAATTCAAGTAAATTTCAATGATTACTGAAAAATACTAGTTAAAAATTGCAAGAGGTTATCGCACCTGTGAGATAATTGTCGCTCAAGGAAATTATCTGCAGCTTTGGAAGTTGTGCTAATTCAGTTGGAATTCTTCCACAAATGTAGTTTCGTGCTAATGCAATAATTTTTAAGCTTGTAGCGTTGCCGAAGGAAGGTGGAATGGTACCTGTAAGGTTATTTTCTGCTAGTACAAGTAATCTTAAGCGAAGCAAACGGCCAATTTCATTGGTCAGATGACCATGGAAGCTGTTGTTGCGTAGATCGAGCACTCGGAGGAAGGAAAGGTTACCGACATGAGAAGATATGGTGCCTTGGAGACCCATGCTGCGAAGGATCAAACCCGTGACTCTTTGCCTACGTCGGCTACAAAGGACCCCCACCCAGCCACAAAAGTCGGTTTCTTGTGTCCAGTTACTCAACACATTATTGGGATCAAAGTTGATTGAGGATTTGAAGGAGAGGAGAGCCAATTGATCAGTGAAGTTTGAGGAACAAATGGCCAACTCAACCATGAGTGAATGCACTAGCAGGGCGCCCAAAAGGGAACCAATGTACAGTTTCTTCATAGACATGATATGTAGACGGGAGTGGAAGAAATGAACAGCCTCTTCACGCAATGATGATCCTTTTATATTATTTTTGATGTATCATCCGAATTCTCATCCCTATATTGATTTAATAAGTCTCATCACTAATATTTATTTCTAATATAATGGTGACAACTCAAATACTTCTTATGTTTCAAATTATTAGTCCATTTTTATTATCCTAAACATTCTAAGAAGATGTTTATATTTTAAGAAGAAATTCAACAATTTTGAAGTCTTTATTTGCAAGAACTAATTGAGATATTTTAATTTGTGATTTTAATTTTATTTCATTTCTTAACAAAAGGGGCACATTGTAAGAAATTTATATTTTTGTGATGAAGATTATAAATATTTGTAATGTGTGATATGTCAATTTATGGTAAGAGTTACAAAATGACGAATTTGTGGTGTGCATCATAAAATGAACGTTATACTTTTTCTAGTTAACAACAATTTATGTTGATAAAATTTATTTCATCTTATCTTTTAGGGTTTGGTTTCTACCAAGTTGGTAATTTCAACTTGAGAGAACGGTTGTATTTGGTAGGTCCATTTAGGGCTGGCTTTGGTAATCTGACTAGTTCTTGTAGATTTCATTGAGTAGAATATTTATACAAAAAATCAAGATGACTAAAGATTAGTAACTATTTTTTTTAATCACATTAATAAGTAACTATTTTTTAAATTATATTTGTCGTTCAATTTTTAAAAATAAAATATTTAATTTCAATTCAGTTATGTTTCTCCAATTTCAAAAATGAAACCCTACTACTTATTTATTTATGTTTACAAAATTGATTCTAAAATAATTAATTAAGAAAAAAAAAAGATTATCTCAAATGAAATATTACATATTCAATACATTATATGTGTTACTTCCTCTTAAAAGAAAAATAAAATAAAATAAAACAGAGTGGGTGGTGAAGTGCGGCCAGGACCGGCAGGCTAGTCATCATAAAAGAAATAAAGTGGACTTGACTCCCAAGTCTTCAAATAGATCAACAGCCTCCAAACAACACATCAATATCAATACGAAATATATTTTTGATAGAACCATTGATGAAAGTGCCAAATGGCACCTACTTACAGATTAGATTCGGAATCAGGATGAAAGTGCCAAAGTGCCAAATGGTACCTACTTGTTTGGGAAAGTAAGAAAAAAATTTAGGCCGAATCATATAAATTTCGGTATTTTGTAATTTTTTTTTTTTCGTGAATTTGTATAATTTGTATGATTCTTTAACTTTATATTTGAAACTATTAACTATCTTGGTGTGGTTGAGTTTTCCCGGAACTCTCCGCACAACTAATATCATAAAGCGTTATAACCAAACACCTTTGAAGTGTAACAAAAAAATCTCTTCAATTATAACTAAACTTACAACCATAATAAGTCATAATTGAGTAATAACCTATAGCGATCCGGGCTTAGACTCGACCCATTTATTGCTTTGGAATCCGAGAACCATATCTGCAGCGATCGTCCTTCTCTGTTCTCTTGTTGGATTTTGGCTTGAGGGTTGACACCACTCGGCTCCTGGGGTCGACACCAGCCGTGGTGGTGTCGACACCACCTTGTTGCGGTGTCTTTAGGGTGGCTACTAAAATTTGGGGTCGACACCAGGTTTAGAGGTGTCGACACTTACCCTATTATTTGCCTCTGGGGTCGACACCAGTCTTGGTGGGGTCGACCCTTCCATCGCTGCTTTGTCCTGGGTTACATTCTAAAATAAAGGGTCAACACCATGGGTTATGAGGATCGATCCTCTCCTTACTGTCTTGTTTTGGGTTGTATTCTAAAATAAATGGTCGACACCACTGTCTCCTAGTGTCGACCCTCGTCTGCTGCAAAGCATTAGTGTCTCAGCTTTCCTTCCTGAGGGTCGACGCCACTGTCCTGAGGGTTGATCCCTGTGAGTCTTTTTCCAGATTTTTGGTTCGGTGTTGGGCCCTACTTTTTGGGAGTTTGACTTATTCTTTCCTTTGACTTTAGGGCTATTATTCTACCACTATAAATAGACCTCAAACATACTTTTCTCACTCACTTTTCCTCTCTCTCTCTCTCTCTCTCTCTTCTCTCTTTTCTCTACTTTTCTCACCTAGATCTTTAAATCTACTCACCTAGAGGTACTTTCTCATCTTGGTCCTTTGAAATAGATTGAAGATCGTGTCAAGAGCTTTCTTTTGATCCAAGTGGTTCGTGATTTCATTGTTGTGACATTTCATTCTAGGTGACCTGTAACAATCCCGACCTGTGATTAGCTAATAATCCATGATTAAGAATGCCTCATAAGTAAATAAGAGGAAATTCTGCATTAATTACATGTGTAATGTGCTATTTGTGCTTATATCTGTTTGATGTAGAAATATACGTCTATATTTTCGATTCAGTAAGCGAATTGAAGGCCTATCAGCATTCAATCATGAAATTGACTTGATTTATGTGTTATCTGGAATTTTTAGAATTTTATGATAGGTTTAATTAGAATTCGATTTGGAACCAAATAATTAGAAATAATAAAGCCAATTAATTAGCCATTAATGAATTTCTTAATCAGTCCTATATAAGGCAACTTGTTAACTTAGGATCATTAGGTCCACTGTCATTTCCTCATCTTTTGAGCTCAAAACGTGAGAGAGAGAGAGAGAGAGAGATAGAGAGAGAGAGAGAGAGAGTAAGGAAGAATTGAATTCAAGCTTGAGGATTGTGGAAACTTAGATGAACTTGGAGGTTTTGGCTTGGAACTTGAAGGTTTTGGCTTAGTGCAAGATATCTCAAAATGGGTAAGGTACTCAACTCTTTTGGTATGCTACCGCTAAAATTATTTCCTGCAAGAGATATGGCACAAAGCATCCAACACCGATGCAAACCCATTGGGATGCCCCCTTCCAATGTATTGTCCATTAACATGAGAATTGTCATGAGATGCAAACGGCCAACTTCATTAGTCAGATGACCATGGAAGCTGTTGTTGCCTAGATCGAGCACTTGGAGGAAGGAAAGGTTACCGACATGAGAAGATATGGTGCCTTGGAGACCCATGCCACGAAGGATCAAACCCGTGACTCTTTGCCTACGTACGCTACAAGAGACCCCCGCCCAGCCACAAAAGTTGGTTTCTTGTGTCCAGTTACTGAACACATTATTGGGATCAAAGTTGATTGAGGATTTGAAGGAGAGGAGAGCCAATTGATCAGTGAAATTTGTGGAACAAAGGGCCACCTCAACCATGAGTGAGTGCACTAGCAGGGCTCCCAAAAGGGAACCAATGTACTGTTTCTTCATTGACATGATATGTGAAGGGAAGTGGAATTAAGGAATGAACAGCCTCTTCACACAAACATTATATGACCTTATATATTAAGTTGGACCTTATAAATTCAAAAAAAATATATTTATGATTCGAATTTTCATTTAATTTTTTAAAAAGAATTCTAATAACATTATCTAAATAAATTATTAAATGTAGTCGCATCATAACTCCTCTTACCCACCACTAGTAAAGGGCAGGTCCGCCACTAGTAATCTGAAAAAATTTATTTAATATTTTTAATGTATTATGGTGATATGTATGTGATATTTAAAGGGTTATTTATTCATAAATCTCTGTCCGCTTACTTATATTCTATTTAATTTAAATTATTTTATTATGTTTCAATAAGTTTTATGGGTAGCATAGTTACTCAAAATATTCCTAATAATAATAGGATGAAATGTACATTAATTTCACATTGTTAGTGTGAATGTTCCATAAATATGAACATTTATATTGTTAAGGTAAAGATTCATATTATCAAATTTATTTAATGTGAATGTTTACATTACCAAGTTGCTAAGGGTTTTAAAAATATTTGCAAGGTTAAAATTGTTCATAAAATATCATAAATATGATAATTAAAACTTGATGGATCAAATGTTCAAAATAATAATATTTATTGAAATAAAAAAATATCTTATGAATTAATTGTGATATAAATATTTAAAAAAATTCTAATAAATTCCCATTAACTCTATTTTTTATTTGCCTACTAAATTGATTCTATAATAATAAACAAATAAGTAAAGTTAAACAATCGCGCTACGTAGCTCAAAATGAAAGCCCCCGAATGGCCCGAATGTTTTCGCCAGTTGCCCAGCCTTGCGTGAAACCACGCTCATCTCTCTCCTCTATTTCTGAACACCTCACAATTCTGCTCTCTCTCTCTCTCTCTCTCTCTCAAACAGTGCTGACAATCTCTCGCTTAGCATCTCCAACTGATGACGATCTAGTGCTGCCGATGATCTCTCTCTTACTCACCGCCAATGATCTCCCTCGCTCACCGATGAGAGAGAACGATCTCTCTCTCAAACCGCTAATCGCCGACGAGAGCAAACACGAACCAAGAAAATAGATTTTGCTTGAATCAGTTGAAAATATTTTTATTTTTTGCTTGAATCAATTGAAAATATTTTCATTTGGGACTGAAGATAGACTTCTTCTTTTTATTTATGAATTTGGGATTGTTGATTTTTATGAGATAGTTTTGATTAAAAATTGGGGAACTCGGTGGTCGTCGACGATGGTCTGCCGTGAAGAAACGGAATAGAGAGAGACAATGGAGAGAGAGAAGACAAAGCTTTTTTTTTCAGAAAAAGAACAGAGAGAGATCAACACAAAAAAAAAAAAAAAAACACTTGGTACCCATTTCCATTTTTCTTGATTCTTTTCTTCGTTTGGTTGTTTAGAATCTCACAATCTTTTTGGAGGATTTCTGATTGGGTTGCTCTGTTTTCATTCTTGTACTGGGTTGCTCTGTTTTTTCTTTTCTTTTCTTTTCTTTTGGGTTGATTCATTGTTGTTGATGTTGTTGCTTTGTTTTTCCTTTTCTTTTCTTTTCTTTTCTTTTTTGGGTTGATTCTTCATTGTTGTTGAAACTTAGAA